CCACGAAGCTGTTGACACAAGCAAGTGTCACTGATTACCCTTACATACTGGAGAGTGCACTGATAATTCTAAATGCCGATGATGCAAGGTAACAATGTGAACTATTTTGAGGAACTAATTCAGACAGAAATAGTTTGTCGAGACCTCGACGAACTAAACATAAACAATATAATTGACGCCAAGGATCTAATTATTCTCCATTTAAATACCAGAAGTATCGAAATGTTGAACTAATAGAAGCATATATTAATAAGTCTAGCAAAACAAAAGACATTGACTGCTCTGAATCGTGGCTACAAAAACTGAAAGGCTTTGTTGATATTGATGGATATATATTATACACAAATGAAAGTAAAATAAATAGAGCAGATGGGGTGACTGTGTATGTTAAAAAGAGTATTGCTCATAGTTATAACGTTGAGATTACTGGACAGCTATCTATTTCTAATGTGGTTCCGAAACTAAGCAAGGCAGTTTAAAGATATCGGGATTGTACAGATGTCATGATTACCGCAGGAAGGACTTTATGGATGACATGAAGACGTTCTTGAGTAAGAATACAACGTGGACCAATCACATCATTTTGGGCGATGACAACATAGACACACTGAATGAAGACCTAGAAACCAGCGAATATTTATGTAGTTTGTTAGAATACCAATTTTTGCCTTATATATAGTCAATAACTAGACCGAATGACTCAGGGGGAACCTGCATAGATCATATATTTGCGAAAAGTAGTTATTTAAATCTTAAAGCAGGGAAAATACTGATTAATTTGACTGATCATTACCCAATATTTGCAGTCGTTAAAAATTAAATAAGGAATAGAGAAAACCAGCGTACTGTAATAAATTACAATAAAATGTTTGAGATAGGCGGAAAATATAACTGGAGTAATATATTATCTATGCAGGAACCTTGCGAGGCTTTGAGTATAATAACAGAAAATATTAAAGAAATCACGGAAGTGTGTACAAAAGTATTACAAAGAAAGAATATGTATAAAAGGAAGAAATGGATGACATATGGGCTTATGTGTTATTGTAATGTCAAAGAAAAACTTTATAAGAAATGGCAAAAAGACAAAAACAACCTAGAATTAAAGGAAAAATATACAGTATACGCAAATCTATTGAGAAAGGTGTTGAGAAAGGCTAAACAGGAATATGAGCGTAAGGTATTAGAAAATGCAACTACTAAACAATACTGGGAATTTGTAAAAGAAAAAATAAATAAAAAGGCAAACAAGGAGAATAATAATATTGAATACATAGTCACAGTGAAAACGTAAAGCTAGGTAAGGATGAAATTTCGCAATACTTTAATAAGTTTTATTGCTCAGTAGGGGGGAAAATAGCAAGCAAAATGCAAAAACCAACTACACTGTGTAATATACCAAAAATAAATAGAAATGATAAATCAATATTTTTTCATCCTACTACCGTTGACGAGGTAGTGGAAATAATAAAAACTTAAAAAATAAAGCAGGGGGCCACGATGGCATAACAGCAAAAGTTCTAAAATGTTTAATAAAACACATATCCGAACCTTTATCTCACGTAATCAACTTATGTCTAGCAAAAGCAGTTTTTCCTTCGCAGTTAAAATTAGCTGTAGTAATGCCTATATAAAAGTGGAAATAGTCATTTAGTTACGAACTATAGGCCTACTTCATTGTTGACTGCGCTGTCTAAGGTGTTCGAGTGAAGTATATTTAATAGGTTAATGGGATTCTTCAAAAAATACGGTATTATCTCTAGGAAACAGTACGGATTTTTAAAGGGTTTAGGAACAGAAGAGGCAATTGCAAGTTTGACTGACTTTCTATATAAAAGCTTGGAAGAAAGCAAACCAGTTATTGTCACATATCTAGATTTGTCGAAAGCTTTTGACTGCGTAAATCGTGAGATAATGTTTGAAAAATTGGAACGCTGTGGAATTAGGGGTGTAGCATTACGCTTAATTAAAAATTATTTCTTGGACAGAGTACAGATCGTCAAAATAGGAAACATAAAAAGTTCCAAAATGGAAATAAATGTTGGAGTTCCACAAGGATCAATTTTAGGGCCTTTATTATTTCTCATCTATATTAATGATCTATTGCAGCTAAAGAATGTACACGAAAAAAACTGGTCGCACATAACCAAGCATAGCTCGGTTAATCATAACATTAAAATAAAAATCGGTAGACACTTAAAAAGCTGGAAGCATTTTTCACCTTACTGCATCATTTATTTTTAGTAACAAAAATCAGTGTAGAAACGAGGACCAAGAAAGAAATCGATCGCGAGTTAATATTGCGCAAAAAGCTGGAAAATCCCAGCATGTTCCATAACGACATCGCAAAAAAGCTAAAATTTCCAAAGTCTACCGTTACTTATGTGCTTAAAAAATACAATGAATGTTTATCTTTAAAAAGGAACCCTGGTAGTGGCAGAAAAAAAGGATTTGCTTGCGAAATTAAGGCAAAGGAAGTGTTATCTGCTTTTAAGAAAAATCCTGGACTTTCGGTAAGAGATGTCGGCAAAAAATTAAACATGTCGTCTTCGTATATACAAAAAGTATGCAAAACAGCAGGACTACGTTCTTACAAAGTGAATGCAGCACCTAATCGCAACGGTAAGCAAAATTTGTTGGCGAAACAACGTGCTCGGAAATTGTACGACAGTCTCATACAAAAATTTGGCTGTATTGTTATGGATGACGAATCGTACGTAAAAGCCGATTTTAAACAAATCCGGGGCCGCGAATTTCACACTGCAAATAAAAGAGGCAATGTTGCAGATAAATATAAAAACAAAAAGTTTGACAAATTTCCCAAAAAGTTTCTCATTTGGAAGGCAATTTGCCAATGCGGAAAAATGGCTTCAGGATGGTAACATAGAAACAAAGTGTATTTTGTAGCAAAAGAGGTGAATCCACCTAATTGTCCAGAGCATCGGCCGATCGAAACCTACTGGGCCGTTATGAAATCCAAACTTCTTAAGACCCACAAAGCTGTAAAAAACGCACAACAATTCAAAAATAAATGGCAGCTGGTTTCCAAGGAAATCACTGAAACTTCTGTGCAAGGGCTAATGAAGGACATAAAGTCAAAATTGCGATCGTTTGCTTATTACAAGGAGAATTAACTCTTTTTTAACGAATTTCAATAAAACTAATTTTAGATGTAAATATATGTAAATATCGTTGAATTCCATTAATATATTTATGTTTTAGAACGTTTTAACTGTGACCAGTTTTTTTCGTGTACATTCTTTAATAGAAAATACATCAGCATATGCTGATGATACTGTCTTGTATATATCACAAAATACATGGCATGAGACCCAAATGGAAATAAATAAGAACTTAGAAATAATACACTGATGGTTCTTTGTTAATAAAATTGCGATCAACTAGGATAAAAACCAATATATAGCATTTGCTAATAAATTGAATAGCCTTCCCACTGATATAAATTTAACAGTTAACAATAAAAGTATTAATAGAGTAGGTTCAGCAAAGTATCTAGGGGTACTCTTTGATAAGCACCTTACATGGAAAGAGCACATCGAAAACACTTTCACTGGACTAAGGTATCTAGTTTATATATTTGTTAGACTGAAGGGCTCTGTTAGTTAAAAATATCTAATCTCTATATAATATGCACTCTTTCACAGCATTGCTACATACGGCATCATAGCTTGGGGTAATGAGTATGACAACAGTATTACCATTTTAGAAATTACAAAAAGAGGTGCTAAATATTATTAACAGAAACGTTGGAACAAACGAAAGGAAACGAATAATGAGCTTAAGGCCGGTTTATGTTTATAGGTCAATGGTACAACGTTATGAAAAAATAAAAAATTAATACGACAAAAGCGATTGCAATACTAGAAATAAAAGTATAAGCCTGCCAAAGTACAAACTAGAGGTAGGGAAAAAAATACACAGTTATTCAGCAGTATAATGATTTAAAAATAATGCATATTGAACAAAATTCTTCTAAATATAAATTAAAACAATGGATATTAAGCAATGTTTAAACAAATTTTGAAAAATTAAAAATTGATGTATATTTTTATGTAATCTTATAGCACATGTAATATGTATGCAATTCCACTATATCCATGTACTGAACATAATATACTTGTATGTGGAAATAAAAATAAATAAATAAATATCAGGATATCGTTGAATTATTTTAATAATAATAATAATAATAATAATAGATTGGCGCTTACATATATGTATGTTAATGTTTGGCCGAGCTTCTCCTCGGATTTGTGGCGTGCGTCTCGAACGTGCCGACTCCGAACGGCGATTGCATTATTATGAGAAGCTGTTTTTCATAGCTGAAATACACTCGGAGGTTTGCCATTGCCTGCCGAGAGTTACCGCTGTTAAGAAAAAAATACATTTTTCTATATTTTTTGGGCTGTTGCTTGGCCAGGGGTTGAACCCAGGCCCTGCGGAGTGGAAGCGCACACTGCTTACCTCTTCATCACAGCGGCCGATGAATTATTTTAATATCTGTTGCAAAATTTTATGCAGACAAAACCAAAAAGTGGAAAAAAATAACATACAAAAATTTTAAATATACCACGTTTCTATAAACGGACTAGAAAGTAAACCATTACTTTTCGCAGTCCCTTAGAGTTTTTTTTTGGTAACTTTTGATTTTAAAGTTTTAGCAAAGTTAATAAAAACAATTTATGAAATTGAAAATGAAAAACATGGGCCGGATGCAATGCGTATTACCAAATTATGTGTTAAAAGCGATATATATAGCTGACTTTTTTCTGAGTGCAGAATTTGCTTTTTGTTTGTTCGAATTTCGCAATTTCGATAGGATTTTCGATCACGTTTTAAATTCCGATCAGATTCCGGAACACCCGGATGACCTCCTAACCAGAGAAACCGATAACTAGTCAGGTTAAAATATCCACAATATTTATTTGTTTATTGTTATTGAAAGATTTCAACTTATTGTTCAACAGGTTATTACTTACGATTGCGGAGTGCATCCGATAGCAAATCCCACGAGTCCACGTAAAATTAACAGCCAGATGAAGTTTGGGGCCACAGAACTGAGTAAACTATATAACACAAGCAGCACACCACAAAATGTTAAAGCCTGAAAAAAGATGAAATGTTTGTTTATAAAATTTTAAGTACAAAGAAAAAACTTTATCGAAATTCTTGTTTTTGAAATTTCAAGACCCTACCCTCTAATTTCCTTCCCTTATATGGGAAATATTATTGCCTAGTTTTATAGATTTTTTTTTAAATCGTTGTCATTTTAGGCCAGAAAATACGGTTTTGTAGATTTATTAGGTTTGAGTGACTATTTTTCATTCAATTTTAAAGATCTAACATGTGGTGGAAAGAGGACTTATAGGCCTAAAAAGATGAAATGTTTGTTTATAAAATTTTAAGTACAAAGAAAAGCTTTATATGTACAATAAAATTTTTGTTTTTGAAATTTCAAGACCCTACCCCCTAATTTCCTTCCCTTGTATGAGAAATATTATTGCCTAGTTTTATAGATTTTTTTTAATCATTTAGAGGTTACGACTTGTCATTTTAGGCCAGAAAATACGATTTTGTAGATTTATTAGGTTTGAGTGACTATTTTTCATTCAATTTTAAAGATCGAACATGTGGTGGAAAGAGGACTTATAGGTCTTTAAAATTATGTATACTAACCTACTATCAGACTTGGATTTTTGGGAGCTTTCATCGGGGGAAGGAAAACACTTTTTTCTTAATTTTTAAGTTTTCACCTTCACTTATTTCCACAATTTCAAAATATCTACTATCTAAAATTAAATCTATTTTCAAATAAACTGATACCTCATTTATTGCAATTGCATACAAATTTTCGAAGTTAGGAAACTTTATGGCCTTGATTTTATATGTGTGTACTAGTAGGCCCGGGCACACATTCCTGCTACACACCGATACAAAGGCAGGTTACATGCATCATTGATATTGTTTTTATTATTATTATCTCCCTTTTATTAGCTCGGGATGTAACTATGTAATACTAGCTTATACCCGCGGGTTTCACCCCGCGCTTTTATACAAATATGAAAAATAATTTAATGATGTTAAATTTTATTTCTGTGCCCATTTCGTTATAGCTCGTTATTTTTTAAGCGAGTTAAGGTATTAAGGCCATTTAAAACTATGAAATTATAAAATCTCGTCTGCGCGCTAGGCATACGAAAGATATCAATCCCTCTAAGTTTACCTTGAAATGGTTTCAGGTATACGACGCGTAAACATGTAACCTTCTTGGAGGTGCCACGGCGGGTTCTAATATTTCCAACTCAAATTCAGTAACCTGGCCTTGATAAAATACCACTTCTCATTACTGTAGCAAATGCCTCAAGAGAGCTTTAGATTATAAGGCCGAACCCGGCTCTCCCTTTTCCATTAAAAATTTTTGCTATCAGTACGGCACTTATAAAATAAATCTCCATAACAAATTTAAAATACTTCCAAATATTTTCTATCCTTCCAGAGATATGTATTAAGAAATTTTTAGTATGTATGTGAGGCGACATGCCTCCTTTTTTAATAACTCACATTTTTTCCATGAGCAATTGAAACATTTTGTATACACAACTCCATACCAAGTTCCAGTATTCTTCCACAAACATTTCCAGGGATATGTGGCAAGAAAAAGTCAATTTGCACAGAAAGTGCCACGCCCCTTTTTCTTATGACCCTAATCTTCTTTCATGAATTTAGAATTGATTTTACATACCCCAGTACCAAGTCCAGTACTCTACCATGAACACCTCTAGAGATATGCAGTATAAAAGTAAATTTGTACGGGAGGTTCCATGCCCCCTTTTCGAATAACGCAAATTTTTCTCCATGAGTATGGAATTAATTTTGTATATACATCTCGGTGCCAAATTCCCGTCCTCTGCAATAAACACCTCCAGAGATATGCAGCATAGAAAAATCAATTTGCATGGGAGTTGTCACATCACCTTTTCCAATAACTCTCACTTTTCTCCATGAGTATGGTATTAGTTTCACATACATACATACATATGTATTTCCATACCAAGCTAGAGTGCTTTACCCCAAACATTTGAAGAGATATGCAATATGAAAGTTTCAGTCAGTATGGGAGGTGCTACGCCTCTTATCCAAAAACGTCCATTTTCTCCGTGAACATGAACATGATTTCAAACAGTGTTGGCAAACTGTTAATCTGATTAAAATTAACGATTAAAACGTTAATCGCATTTGACGATTAAAATTAATTAGTCGTAATCAACTGTACGATTAATGTTAACAATTTTTTAATCGTTAATCGCTGGCTGCGATTTTGTTTAATTAATTTAAAACATTAATCGTTTATCCAATTAAAAATAAAATCTGATTAATTTGTATAGTTTGTCCGAGTTTGAAACTAAACACCAGTTATAGAAAGTATTTTATGTTTTACGCTTATAAAAAGCACATAATATATAAAAATTATAAATATTGTTATTAGTAATACATAAACTGGGAACTTTTACAAACCAAGTTTGTAAAACGTTTGTTGGTATATATCGTAATGAAAATACACATCGAATTGCTTAGATTGATGAGGAAACCCGACTTAGCCATACCGGATTAACTTGCTTTGTGTGTACAGGGAAATTCCAGCATAACTTAATTAATCACCAAACCTACTTGATCAAATTAAGAGTTAATGATTAAAAATTAATTTTTTAATCGCGGTTACGATTAACCGTTTAGGCAGATTAAAATTAATCATGATTAGCTGTAATCAGATTGAATTTATCGAATTAACTAACTGATTAAAACATCAATCGATTAATGCCAACATTGATTTCACATACGTATCACTATACCAAATTTCAGTTCTCCCCCACAAATACTTCCAGAGATATGTATGTAATATGAAAATTCCAATTTGTATGGGAGGGGCCTTAAGTTACCGGACTTACTTTCAGTCTAAGACCATCCTTCCGAAATCCGTAGTAAGTGCACTAAATTTCGTTCTGATCGGAAAACCGGTTAAGGAAGTAGCCTATTTTTCAATCCAGGTCATAAACCATCTTTGAGCAAAATTTCATTTTCAAACAGGTGGCGATTCTTAAAAAAGTAGCCTATTTTCCAGTCTAGGTCATAAGCTATCTGTGCGAAAAGTCATGCAAATCTGTTCAGTCGTTTCCGCGTATTAATTTAAGTAAAACTTTTTTAACAGGTGGCAACACTTGCAAAAAATTAGCCTATTTTCCACTGTAGGTCATAAGCTAGCTGCTTGCAAAATTTCATGCAAATCCGTTCAGACTTTTCCGCGTATTAATTTAATTTAACTTTTTTAGCAGGTGGTAACTCTTAAAAAAGGTAGCCTATTTTCCAACCTAGCTCATAAGCTATCTGTGGGAAAACTTCCACGCAAATCAGTTCATTAATTTCCGCGTATTAATTAAATTAAACATTTCTAGCAGGTGGCAACTCTTCCAAAAAATTAGCCTGTTTCCCACTGTAGGTCATAAGATATCTGCTTGCAAAATTTCATGCAAATCCATTCAGTCGTTTCCGCGTATTAATTTAATGAAACTTTTTTAACAGGTGGCAACTCTTAAGAAAAGTAGCCTATTTCCCAATCTAGGTCATAAGCTATGTGTGTGCAAATTTTCATGCAAATCCATTCTGTCGTTCCCGCATATTAAATAAATTAAACTTTTTTAACAGGTGGCAACTCATAAAAAACTAGCCTATTAACCAATCTGGCCCATAGGCTATCTGCGTACAAAATTTCATGCAAATCCGTTCAGTCGTTTCCGCGTGATGATTACCCAAACATCCAAACATACAAACTTTCACATTTATAATATTAGTAAGATAAGATTAGATATTTGATATTAGATTTGGTGAGAGCCTACCACCAAATTCCAATGGCAGAAGAGGATATCTATAAAACTGCAATAACGACACCTTTCGGTATGTTTGAATTTATACGAATGCCTTTCGGACTAAGAGATTCGGCGCAAATTTTTCAAAGATTTATTAATGAAGTAGTTAGTGGTTTAGATTTTGTTTTTACATACATATATTGATGATCTATTGGTTGCAAGTGAAAATGAAGAACAGCATTTTAAAGATCTCCGTATACTTTTCCAACGCCTAACAGAGTACGGGTTAAATATCAAACCAAGTAAATGTACTTTTGTTGTTACAAGTGTTGACTTTTAGGACATAATATTTCTGGGGCAGGAATTAGACCCTCTGATGAAAAAGTGATAGCTATTCGTAGTTTTGAACGTCCTAAATCTATTAAACAGGCGCAGAAATTTATAGGCATGGTTAACAACTACCATCGATATGTACCAAAATTAGCTGAGTTTACGGCAGTTATCTACGATTTAATCAATCGAACAACTAAGAAACGTGACAAGTCCTTAATTTGGGATGACACAACAAATAAAGCCTTTGAATGTATTAAAAAAAAGTTTGCGTCTACGATATTGTTAAATCATTTTAACAAACATGCCAATCTCTTTAAATGTGGATGCATCTAATACGGCAATTGGTGGTGTCATACATCAAACGTTTGATAACAAATCAGAGCCACTAGCTTTCTTTTCTAAGAAACTTTCTCCATCCGAAGTTAAGTACAGTGCATTTGACAGGGAGTTGCTAGCTATTTCTTTGAACGTTAAACATTTTCGCTATCTTTTAGAAGGATGACAATTTACAGTTTTTACAGATCACAAGCATTTGATATATGCTTTGAGTTCAAAAACCGAACGTAGTCCGAGACAAACTAGACATAGACATATGCACAATTTACTAATGACATACGATATACTAAAGGACAGGAAAACATTATAGCTGACACATTATCTCGAGCTTTCGAAATTGATGCAATTAAGGGTACAGAACTGAATTTCAAAGTTTTACAAAATGAACAAGAACAGGACGAGGAACTAAATACATTAAAATCTGGAGACACATCACATAACCTTAAATTAATTCAAATTCCACTTTTAAATTTTAATATTTGGTTTGAAATGACAGGTGAGAATCCTAGGCCATTTGTTCCAAATTGTTTACGCAAGACAGTGTTTAATATGTTACATGACATTACACATCCTG